ATATAATAACAAAGTATCAGCACATAATGACAAGCATATAATGACAAAGTATCAGCATATAATGATAAAGTATCAGCACATAATGACAAAGTATCAGCATATAATGACAAAGTATCAGCATATAATAACAAAGTATCAGCACATAATGACAAGCATATAATGACAAAGTATCAGCATACAGCATATATTAACAAAGTATCAGCATATAATAACAAAGTATCAGCATATAATAACAAAGTATCAGCATATAATGATACAGTATCAGGATATAATGACTAAGTATCAGCATATAATGACAAAGTATCAGCATATAATGATAAAGTATCAGCATATAATGACAAAGTATCAGTATATAATAACAAAGTATCAGCATATAATGATACAGTATCATCATAGCATAAAATTTAACACATAAGACAGCTACGGCGTTCCATAAATCATAGTTAAAATCGTATTGACAGTGAATAGATTTAAAAAATAAGCAACAAAAATATAATATAGAGAAAAATGGGAACAATTGATATAGAATAGAGAAAATTGGCTTGACAATTAAAGAATTAAGAATTTAAGGACCCCGGCTCAACAAGACCCTCATATATTCTAGTGATTTATAGTCAAATTGTTTTTGTAATTTCAAGGACGAGCACTTTAGTACAGTCTTATTCTTTTTAAAGCTTTGCATAAAATGGCCATAATAGATTATAAACCGATTGATTTTCAAAATAGACAAATCTAATGCCTTATCATTTAGAATGTCTGAACGAACCATTAGCACAGCTTGAACATCTCAGCAAGGACTTAAAATCTTCACAATTTGGCGATAAATCATCCATTTTTAATTAGACATTGACATATATACATAATTCGTTGAATATAATTGCTTACTAAATGATGTTACCAGACATGTTATGTTTAAATATAGACATTGTCATGATTGTATCCAGTTCTAAAATGTCATTCGGAATAGCATCTTCCGAACCGAATGCATCAAAATTTAAACATAATATGAGTATAGAAATGAAAAATAAAAACTGCCTGTTATGTCATGAATAAATAATTCATTGTATTTGTAACCACGTCTGAATAATTGAATATTCGCTGAAATGCATCATACAGCATACGCGTAGCTACGTTTACGTCAAAACGCCCGGGCGTACACACGAATTTTGGAGAAAAATATTTTAATCTAAATAAATTAAAAAATCTGGCTAAAAGCACATGAGCCTTGTAGTTCTTTCTCCACTGACTTGTAATTGAAGAAAACAGTCGGAAGAAATTTACTTTTTAATAAAAAATGGTATCATATTATTTATTTGCAAGTTCGTTTTCTGTCAAAATATGAATCTACTGTGAATTATCCTCCCTTTCCCATAGTTTAAAGCAATTCATTTTCTGCTGAGATACGATATGCAGTTTTGTCGAGCCTGCGAGACATTCCGTAATCGGCGTTGGCGTCGTCAATATTTATGTTCAGTCTGTGGTTAATTTTTTTTTTAAACATCAATAAATTTGTAAAACCTTTATGAAATTTTACAGAATATAGACAAACACTTTTTTATGATCAAAAGAGTATCCAGAGCATAATTATGAAAATTTACTTTTAATTTTTCCGCATTTTACTCAAAAGAACATTGTTTTTATTAGTTAACAAGTAGATACTGTTTGTTACGCATCAATTACTTTGTCAAAACTTCATCGAATTTTATGTTAAAATGTTAACACCAACTGTACGATTTTTTTTTTGCACCAGATGCGCATTTCGACAATTAATGTCTCATCAGGGATGCTGGAGGCCGAAATATTTGAAAATCCAAAACCTAATAAAAACATTGGAAGAGCTGATCAAAATAAAACGTACCTAAAGTATAGCCAATTCCGGACAAAGAATCAGAGCTTTGCATGGGGGAGATATATTCCTTTATTTTTAAATGATTTCAAAACTTTTATTTCAGTCTAAAAATTATATTTTTTTTCATTTTTCAGTATTTTACCATTTTTTGGGGGCAATTAACAGATGGTCTTGAATTTGATATTTTTCACCTGCTACATTTGTAAACTTTCATAGATTGTTATGAAGCTTGGACAGAAGCTTATCTTCCAAGATCAAGAAAAACATTTAAAGAAAAGTTTGATTTCTTTTAAATCCTGTATTTGACTGATAAATGGTTTCACTTTTTATAGTTTAACCGACAGCAGCAATCCCAGGCGAAACTCAGGATTCCTCGGAACCCTTTGAGTATGTTTATATCACACCTGACCATCTATGAAAATTTATTATTGCATGTACTTGTCCATTAACGAAATTTGCGCATAAAAGCGGAGAAAACTAGATTAAGTCATAATAATCAAAAGAACGACACCATTGAAAATGTAGACTTGCTTTTTTTATATTTCGAAAGGTTTGGATCTTTGGTCGATTGATTGTTTTACCTCAAATCTTCTTTTAAACATATTTCATAGGAACATTTGGTCGATTGATTGTTTTACCCCAAATCTTCTTTTAAACATATTTCATAGTAACAACTATTAGCCATTAGATTCCAAATCAACACACTAAATAAATTAAACATGAAAAAAATCAAGAAATTAGACTTTAAAGTACATTTATGTTGCTATTGATGAGTTTTAGTGACAGAAATAGTAGCTCTCAATAAATCGTTTGCTTCCGTCGGACCCCTGCTGGGAGGTCCCTTGCCCTGTACCCGCTGGGGACCCTCAAACCCCTCGCCGAAGTTCGGGCGTACACTTAAAAATGGCTTAGCTACGCCACTGTACAGGCATACTCGCAGTTTGTCTTTGATATATATGTAACTTCTATATAATGCACCGACACGTGACACATATGAACTAAATGAGATAGAGGAGTATATGCAAATAAGACACAGCCTGACGACACATACAACAACAAAAAAAGACATCTACAAGCAAACATACTGTCTGCAACAACAGACAGAAGTCAAGCTCTAAATTACTACGAATGAAAAATTAAACTATTCAATATGAAGATTATATTAGATGTGTTTGCCCATCTCAACCATACTGTCGAGCTTTTTTTTGAGGGGGGGGGGGGATAGAATCTAAGGGGACGACCATTTGATATTATTGGGGGGGGGGGGGATTTTTTTCCGGATTGATCCTTTTTTTTCATCTGTTGCTACACATGTTTATTTTTTTCCGCGGAAATCTATTTTCACTTTTGTACACATTTGTATCCTCAACTATCCTGCATTTCACGTTGCAGAATATTAGTTTTCATCCTGTCTTGTGCAAGGTAACTTATTTTCCGTTCTTACATGTACCAGGCCAAGTCATTTATTTTCGAAATCCTTCTAGCCCCCGGAAAATCAAATGGTGGTCCCCTAAAGGATTACGCATGACTTATTGCAAACAAATTAATTTAACACATTACAATAAACAGAAAACAGAAACAAAAAACCCACCGTATTTCAACAAGAAACAAATTAAGACTGTCATGATGAAATATAGTAAATCATTGACTCGGCTAAGGAGATACATTCTGTTGTCATTTGTTATTATAAAAACTCATTGAATCGGGTTAGTTTTTATAAATGCCAGTCATTTTCGTACAGAAATAAAGTTTGCTGGAACGCGGACTGCGAAGTGGACACCAATCTAAATACGCATAATGACGTAAACAGTAGTTTGAATATTACAAAATTTTTTTTTTATAGAAACAGAAAGCATATAAGTATAAATTACTAACCAATCGGATAGTTTTTACGCATCTGTTTGCAAAATGTCTGACTTCAGGATGAATATAAAAATACAAACAGATATGAGAAATCATATTAGCAAGCAAGCAAGCATGGTCTGTCAATATAAAATAAATAGATGTGGTATGATTGCCATAGAGACAACTATCCATTATAGACCAAATGACGAAGATGTTATCAACTATAGGTCACCGCTAGGACTTAAAAAATGAGCATAACATATGCTGCATTGAGCAACTTATACATGTAAAAGGCCACGACATGACAAATGTAAAACAATTCAAACGAGAAGACTAACGGCCTGATTTATGTACAAAGCAATAAACGAAAATCAAATATGATATACAGCAACAAACGACAATCACCATCTCACAGGCTCTTCCTTGGAGTTCTAACAGAATTATTAAAAGGAGAAGTTTACAAACTTATAATAACACCAAGTGTATAATCCTATCATAACACCGGCTCACGGCAGCTTGATTTTTGGTCTATTTCAAATACATGTAAACACTGTGTTCGACATAGGACATAATATATAAATCTTTTCTGAAATTGGCGCCATATACAATCAGAAATGTGTAAGTCTATGAAAAATGTAAATAAGAAATAATACAATCGGAGACGTAAACATGAACATCATGTCTATTCTTGGTCTTCTATGAGACTTAACGAATTATTGAAAACTTAGACGTTGTAATGATGTTAAAACAATTAATTTCAAATTTATTTTCATTTTCTCAGGTTTTTTACATATGTTAATTGTAGATTTGGATGTCATGTCTTTCCAATTCGTAATCATATTTAGTTTGTTTACCAACTTCCTAGTACAGTTTTTCAAACATATTATGGACAAACGAAGATCGTTCTCCCCGCGTCTTTGTGAGAGAATAAAGTAGAAAAAGACTACTTGGACGAAAAAGTCATTCCAATCTCCATAATTATTATTCTTCACATTGATATGTGGCATGAATTATAACATTTATATACTTATTTGAAATTCACCGCTCAAAAATCAAGAAATTATTTATAATTAGGACCTTTTGTCCGTTGCAACGTATTTATGCATTCTGGCTTTCTAATGTTTAGGTTTAAGCGTTCCTGATGAAGGCAATTCCATAAAATCAATATATCGGACGCACGAAATTGATAAAGTGTTTATATATTTCATTAATTCATAGAATCCCGCGAAAAAGTTAAAAAGTGTTTATATTTCATTAATTCATAAAATCCCGCGAAAAAGTTAAAAAAAATGTGCGTTAACCGGAACTAAACTTCAGATGTAAACAAATATTATCATCGTTATTTAGTAAGTATTTTACTCAGTCATTTACATTTATATATATTGATCATACTTATACAGTTACAATATTTATATAATTTTTGTCAATAGTTAGGTTATTGTATAAAGTCAATAAGTTCGAAATAAGGATCTTAAATGTATAACACAGATATTATGTATCATATTCTATAAATATCATTTACTATCGTTTTATTAGAGTTAAACATTTAGGATATGAATATTCTATAATGTTATACCGTATCGGTCTAGGAAAGGGAGACTTTCATATATATAGTTATTGTTGTGTTCGTTCATCAATACAAACTTTGTATTTTATTTAAAACTTCTTTGCAACCAGTTTTTAATAATACTGGATTTCCCTAACTTTTCAAAGAATATTTAGTTCTGTAAAAGTATAGCGTGGTGGTTTTAAAATTGTTTTTTTTACCTGACAGTGACTATGGCACAGGGGATCAAAAAAGGGAGCGTTTGGACGTTACACTGTAAGTTACTATTCTACCAACCAAAACTTTAGGAGAGCTAGTGCTGATGAAGGGTTGAAAATTATACAGCATGTATTTATTAGGTCAATGGAATCACCGTTGTACTATGCCAACTTACCATTCATTTTTATGCATAATTCTTTTGAATATTGTATGTTTCATTTGGAAACCAAACTAAACTTGATCACTGAACCACCTTGTTTTTAAAACGGTTGAAGTGTTACTACCAACGCCACCACTTTCTCGATTGCGCATGCTCAATTTCACTACGTTCTATACGGAATATTCACAGGTATTTTGATGCATGGACCCATTTTACAGATATTAATAAAAGGAGGATTGTGTTAGTAATGGCAAATAGGAAATACAGAAATGTATTGCAAAATATATGTGACAAAAGAAAAAAGTGTCCATTCCCAAATCGCCAGTTGGTATATGACACTAGTAAACAGTACAAATTCATAACACGTTACCAAACAGCCGAAAGAAGTGACCGCAAGAAGATTGTTTTTACATGCACAAATATATTTCAACATTTTATGTACTCTCCAAGAGCAAAAACAGTAGCAAGAGGTAAACAATCATAATACATATGGTGGATAGCCGTAACAAGCTATGCTGTATACATTACATGTATAATGTACAACAAAGTAATTTTATGAACGATTATTCATCTTTTTTGTGGGTGGAAAAGGGGGGGGGAGTCACAAATATTATTCTTGGGACAAACATTTTATAAATGATTTTTTTCAATAACATACATGAAAAAGATTTTTTATTTTAAATTCAATGTTGAACCCCCCTCATTTTCGACGGAAATACACTATTTTATTTTCAAATCCATTCCGAGACAAAAAAAAGGAATTTAGAATCATGCGCCCCCTCCCCACCCCCTAAAGATGAATGGTCAGTAACTTAATATATTTATAATCACGTTGTGTATACTAGAGCAGTGTATGCAAAAGGTCAATCAGGTCTCTGAACGGCTATTTGAAATTAATGAAATTGTAGATATGATGAAAGTAACCAGAATCCTTCAGCCAAGTAAAAAAAAGTCAATGATTTTAAAGTCTAGTACTATTCTTGTCGTACTTCCACAACAATTGCAGATGCCAGAAACGAACCACCGCTAAATAATACTGCGGATGTAAAACCATTCAATAAAGTCCCTGGACCTCGAGGGCTTTACAACATACCTTACATTGGCGCGGCTTTGCATTTTAAACCTTTTAGTAAGTATACTATGCAGTGTAGTATCTTTGCACATGTTTTTTTTAATTGTATTGAAAGACAGATAGGTTTTGATACGACATTATTTGATTTTAAGTTATTACCCTTGGTCGCCATGTTGGAGGTGAACTTATTTGACTAACCAAATTAAAATATGTGGTAAAAAGCAAGTTTAAGAAGAGATCCTTACTAGTTCGTAATGATAAATAATGCAAGGCTAAAAACAAATTAAAATTGTTCAGAAAAACAACTCGTTTCTAAAGTCTTGATGTCCGTATGCTTAGTTCAATTTGGAAATTTGTGAACGTTCACCTCCAAAATAACGACAAAAGGAAATACCTCTAGCTAAAAATCGTGAAACGATATCTTTAAATTGTTGTAATCTTATTTAAATTTTAAGAGATTTTTACGTCAGAATTTTTTTTTTTAATTAAAGCAAATTTCATTGCGTGGCAATACGGAAAACACAATTAATTTTTGCGTTTGTAACTTAAAAATAAACTCTGATCTATAAATACCAAAATTGCAAATATTCATCATTAATTTTAACTGAACATTTTTAAGTATGAAAACTCATTTTGAAATATAAAAATATGATTATATACATCAAGAACCCTATATCTTTTAACAACAGAACCGATACTAAACAAATAATTTAAGAAAGACATAAAAACCAAGTAAGAACAATACATGAGTGAAATTATACGAGGCAGGTCTCAAACAACCAATAAAACAAAAAACAAAACCATCGAACTAAAGACAAGATAATTACAAATACAACCGAAGGTAATATTAGGTGCACCAGAAAGAAAAGCATATCGGCGTTGCTATGATACTCGTTACTGCCAGTGGGGAAACCATGTGATGCCTCAAAGTCTGTACACGTCAAATTCAGCTATATATCAATAAGCACTTAGGAACATGTGAAGATTTGTCTTCCACAATTGCTTGTCGAATTTGTATCGAAGTTGATTTGATATCACATTGGTTAAATATAAGCAGTCAACTGTAAGTTTATCTTGTTTAGATAATTAAATGTCATCGGCATTTTGAGTCGCGATTTAATAAAGATCATATGCTAAAGAAGGTAACAAAAGAACTTTATCTATGTATGATAGTAGGTGTCATATGAAGAACAGAAAAAATATGATCTCTTCTTTTTATCTGCTAAACCAACATCATCGTAGACTAACCGTTAAGATGTATTTAAATGAGTAAACCATAAAAAAAAATATGATTTGCTTCATAAAAAAATAACTTGTAATCTTTTATAGGTAAATATCAACCAGGTGATGTCAATATAGTACTGGACAACTTCAAACAAAAATACGGGGATATATATAAGATAAAATTTGGACCAAATAACATGGTAATCGTTAGTCATCCAGACTATGCTAAAACAGTTCTTCAAGCAAACTATGAACAGCATAAAAAGATTGATTTTGATATTAGTACTATTTTTCATGAAAGAACTAAAACCACAAAAGGAATGGTTTTACTGTAAGTATGACCGTCAATGTTGAGATTCATATGTAACAATTCCTGCGTTGTTTTTAGTTCCCTACCGACGGAGTCGAAGGGGACTTTAGGTTTGCACTCCGTCCGTCTGTCTGTCTGTCTGTATGTCCATCTGTCAGTCCGGCAAATCAGTTTTCCACAATTTTTTTCTTCATGCTTGAAGATATTGATTTGATATTTGGTGTATTGTTTTATCATGAAAAGTAACAGAACAAGTTTGAACTTTGTTCCGGTCTGATGATTTTGTGCAGAGTAATGGTCCTTTGACTTAAAAAATTCACTAAAATAATCAGTTTTCCGAATTTTTTTTGTCATTCTTGAAGATATTGATTTGATAATTGTTTATACTAAAGTAACTGTTGTATTATTGTTGTGGCACCTACATAAACTCTAAAAACATGAACCAGCGGATCATTATCTAAAAATTAAAATCAAAACAGCACCTACAAATGCGCAAAATACAGTACCATCGGATATTATGTGACGATCAAAATTGAAAATAGAAATGTAAACAGAAAGTTATGAGAGCAATTCTCTAAGGTCACCATATACCCGGACACAGTGTTGTTTTGAATCCAAACTGTTCAGTTTTCGGTCTTGCTCCTGAGAAACTGACAATTACCAACTTCAAATCTTTGGCCTGACCAGGCCATGATACTTTTACGCGGACGGTATATTTATTTTCACCTGTTACTAGACTGGCTTTTCTGTTTCACGGTTTTGTTCACAAATATTTCCTGCATATGACTGCATTATGAGGTGCAGAATATATTCATTATTATCCTTTCTTAGGCATGACTATTCGTTTTCAGTTCTTACGGGCCAGCATATTCATTTCCCTTGGTTATTGATTGGCGTCCTGAATAAACATACATTATTTGCCACTTGATATTCAGTTAGCAGCAATGAATAATGTTTCCGCATCATTTCATAGAATTGGACAAGAATGGGCAGAACGAAGAAAACCAGCTCAGGAAAAAATGTTACGCCCAGCCGTTGTAGCTAGTTATGTCCCCTTGATCGAATCGGTAACAGACGATTTCATAAATGTATTACGGAAGAAAACAGAAGTTAATGATCTTCTGTGGGAACTTCTTAACTACACAACTGAAAGTAAGTAATATGGACACATGTGTACTGATTGATACTTTAGTCTGGGAAAACATGATTTATTTATTAATTAAAACTGGTTTTGAACTAGATTTCAGTAAATGCGAGTATTCTTATTTCGGAACATTTTCTTTATTGCTTTTATGTTAGTTGGTTTAATTGTACTTCGCACTGAAAAGTAAAATAACAAAAATACCGAACTCCTAGGAAAAATCAAAACGGAAAGTCCCTTATCAAATGTCAAAACCAAAAGCTCCAACACATCAAACGAATGGAAAACAACTGTCATATTCCTAACTTGGTACAGGCATTTCCTTATGTAGAAAATGGTGGATTAAACCTGGTTTAATAGCTACAATGTAGCTAAACCTTCACTTGTATGACAGTCGCATTAAATTCAATTATATAACAACAATGTGTGAACAAAACAAACAGACATAATAGGTAAACATGTCAAAATTAGGGATACAGCAGTCAACATTGTGTTATAATCTTAAATACTATAAAAACAAACGAATATGTCAACAAAGAAAAACTAAATGGCATTTAGACAACGCTCACAAGCAAAAATGAAAGACAAGAATACAAATAATGACCATTGAGTTAAGCCATTTGCAATTTGATTTTACAGTTTGTTCTCATTTTGTGCTGTAACACCACTGTACCAGGTTAGGAGGAGGGTTGACGGCTCACAAATATATTTTCTTTATATTCCTGTACCAATTTAGGAGCCTGTAATTCAGTGGTTGTCGTTGGGTCGTGTCTGTCAAATTTGTTTTTCGTAAATAGGAGTGTATAAATTAGGCCGTTAGTTTTCTCGTTTGAACTGTTCACATTGTTAATGTTGAGACTTTTTATAACTGACTATACGGCATTGGTGTTCAGTGGCGGATCCAGGTGTGTGTGTGTGTGTGGGGGGGGGGGGGGGGGGGGTCGGGGGGTCGGAACCCCTCCTTTGTTTTGGACGATCAATGCATTTGAATGGGGACATAAAGTTGGAACCCCCCTTTATCCTCGGTTAGGAACCCCCTCCCCCTTTATAAATGGCTTGATCCGCCCCTGGTGTTTCTCATTGTTGAAGGCGGTACGGTGACAAATAAATGTTTTTATCTTCGTCATTTGAACACTGATGGATAGCTATCTCGTTGGCGATCATACCACATCTCCTTATTTTTATACAGTACAGTGTGATTTGTTTAAATTTTTGTGTTGTTGTTGTTGTTGTTATTATAATTGAATTGTTTGTTTTATTCGTGATTTAGTGTAAAATACTATAAATACAAAGTCATGTATTTTTGTTCAATAAGAAACAAATACTAGAAACTCTTTCAGGTAAAGGTTAAAGTTTAACTCCTCCACATATCCATGTACCTGTCTCAAGTTAGGAACCTGGTCTATCATTGTTTAATTTCATATTAATGTGTTTTTTTGTTGTTTGGTTTGTAATTTGAAATTATATGGTGTTGGTGACCGATCTTTAATTGTTATTGCTTAATACATTCACCAATATCATAGACAATTAAAAGCTTGAAATATTGATTAGACGCCTTTCTGCTGTTGATACTATTTGTTGCCTTCTAAATGTCTATTGGTAATTGGCGTTGGGTTGCTGACATATATCCTACATCCCTTTTTTCATACTCAACATCGACTTTCAAAACGCAGTGTGAAGGAATTATATTTTATAAGCTGTTGCACTTCGTTTACTGTTACGGAACACATCTTGTATTAAGTAAGTTGAACAGCTTTGAGACATTTAAGAAAAAGCCAAAACAAATTAGTTTAGGAAATCTCTTATCTTTATGTTCTTTCCAGTGCCGAACATAAGTATATTATATATAGATAACAATGAAACAATTCTTCTAGTAACAAAAAGAATTGATATTTTTCAGGTGTAGGTATGTTGACCTTTAATAAAAGACTAGGCTGTTTATATACAGAAAAGAACAATCCTGCTGTTGTTGCATCAATTATCAGAAATGTACTGGATATGTTCCAAGAAGCAATGTTTATGCCATTTAAATCTTACTTGTATTTTAGAACACCATTTTATAAACGATTCGAGGAAAATATGCTAAAATTTGGCGAGTAAGTGTTTTATTACATTATATATATTTAGATTATAGAAACAAAAAACTCATCAAAGATACGAGGCGTATAATTTCGAACTCGAGGCGCACGTTTTGATAACAAAATAATCGTCAGTGTCACTCGAACCAAACAATTGGAAGGTCGAATCGATTAAAAAGATAAAGAGCACTAACACTAAACATCGTTTTCAATAATGACTCCTGTATCATGCCGAGGCTCAAATATTTCACATCGTGCATTGGGATAATATTACAACCGATGTGGACAAAACAAATACTAGTATTTAAGTACTTTATATTGATATATATATATATATATAAATGCAAAGTACACAATACGCATTAACAATAATCAATTTGCGAGAAGTTGTCATTAATGTTTAATACAAACATTGTATTTACAGAATAATAAATGCAGAACTAGCAGCACAAAAGGACTTCCTGACAAAATTACAACATGAAGGTAAACTGGATGAATATCTTGAAAAAAAACCGAACTTTATGTACTCTTTACTTTCTGATAGCAGAGTAACAGACGATCAAGTAAATAGTATTGTTATGGACTTGTTTGGTGTTGGTATTGACTCGGTAAGTTAAGCCAGGATATGAATGCAAAACTTATTTAACCATTTCGGTGAAAAGCGGATTTCCTCTGCAATTTATAGCTACGGACACACACCAATTAAATAGAATGATTAGTCAATATTTGAGTGATTTAGGATTTACTATAACTTTAATATATTCCAAGGATAACTCCAAATAATTATTTTAAGAATGTACTGTCGTATACCCTCGGCGATCTAATATATATGAATCGTGTGACTTAAAAAGTGAGTTGTCATGATCCAAATGCGGTCGAAATCATAGATGTCGCAAGTTCAACCTGTATTTACAAAGTTTGACGTTACAATCACAGTACTGATTGCGATCATTATCACAAATGAACAGTAAACATTTATAGTATGAAGATCATATTAAAAAAAAAAGATAAGGTCATATTCAAGATTTGAAATTTTGATACATTTCATCACTTTTTATTCAATGACATCATAAATTATTTAAAAAAAAAACAAAAAAAAAAAAACAACACAAAACAATAAAATTAATGTTGGCCATGAACAGATCATTATGTTTGAAAATGATAAGAAATCATGGTTAGATTCATAGCAACACGACGGGTGCCACATGTGGAGCAGGATCTGCCTAACCCTTCGGAGCACCTGAGATCATCCCCAGTTTTTGTGGGGGTTCGTGTTGCTCAGTCTTTAGTTTATTATGTTGTGTTTTGTACTGTTGTTTGTCTGTTTGTCTCTTTCTTTTTTAGTCATGGTCTCAGGTGCTCCGGAAGGGTTAGCAGGTCCTGCTCCACATGTCCAAAAACTTGGGGTGAATACGCGAGGAGCTATATGACAAAAAAGAACATAAAAAGAATAGCCATCTAAAGTCTTTAGCAAAAAGCAAAATAACAAAAATACCGAACTCCAAGGGAAATTCAAAACGGAAAGTCTTTTATAAGTCCTTTAGCAAATTTTTCTGTTTGAAAGATCTTTTTATCGTTCTACTTCGTTCAATTGCAGAGTGCCAATACACTGGTGTTTTTATTGTATCAATTAGCTGTCAACCAGGACAAGCAAGCTAAACTGTTTGACGAAATTAAAAAAATTGTTGGTAATAGTCTAAAATTGACAAAGGAACACCTTGCTAACATGTCGTACATGAAAGCTTGTCTAAAGGAATCTCATAGGTATACGAATGGTATTTGTCTAAGTATAGAAAAATATTAAACTACTGTGTGAATTGGTGTAATGAGAAAATGGAACGTTCAAAACGGCTTAAAAAAATTCATTAAAGATACCATGCTTACAAGTTAGTACGTCATACACACCTTTCTTCTAGACATATAACTCATCATTGACGCTCAAATCAAAACAGTTGAAACGCTGAATTAATAAGAGGTTGAAGTGCATTTGAAGACCGAAAAAAGTGTACCAAATCTGGCTAAGACATTTATGACTGGGGGTGAAAGTTAACAATTGTAAAATGAGTTCTACTAATACATCTGTAAAAAGTAAAATAGCAAAAAAAAAAAAAAAAAAAAAAATACCGAACTCCAAGGAAAATTAATAACGGATAGTACTTTATTAAATGGCAAAATCAAAAGCTCAAAATCATCAAACGAATGAAAAACAACTGTAATATTCCTGACTTGGTACAGGCATTTCCTCATGTTCAAAATGGTGGATTAAACCTTGTTTTGTAGCTAGCTAAACCTCTCACTTTTATGACAGTTGCATAGAATGTAAAACAACAGATAATTGTGTCTGTTGAGTGCAAACCAGGATCGGGAAAGTTTTGCTTCTTGTTTTTTTCGCAATTTGGTTCTGAGATTTTAAAATGCATTATAATTTACGCTTTCAACGGTTGATTTTCGAAATATATTTTATATCCTCTTGATGTCAAGCAATTTTCTGGCATTCACACCATAACAACAGCAATATGAAATTATCGCGAAGGATTATTTTACAGTTAAATATTATATCAACTTTTCCCTATTGTTTTTTTATGAATGTTACATTATTCTACAGGGTAATCTTTCCAACCTCAGCAGGATTAGCACGTGTTGTAGAATCTGATTTAGTCATTGGAGGATATCGGTTACCTAAGGACGTAATTGAATATTTAACATCACAACAAGTGCTTGATAGATTAGTTTACGTACGATTAAATGTTTGACAGTTGTAAGTAGCATCCTGTTGTGTCTATTGTTAAAAATCCTGCAGGTACATGTATATTGAGCACTACATGTCTTTTTGGGTCATTCCGTTCTGTTTTATTGACGTATACCATAGCCTCTTCTTTTTAGCTAGATCTCAGAAAAGAGATTGCACATGAAAAGGGGGAAATACAAAGGGGCAATCAAAAAACCATACACAAGTCCTCAATTCACATTACAGAAAGTTAATGATTTAGCAGCAACCTCTCAAGAAAAACCGGGCACGAACTAAATTGCTTCGGAAAGGTAGGGAGCATTTCCAGCTAAACTAGTTTTTATATTTAGATTTTTATAATTTGTTCTGTATCGGTACATTTTCTTTATTGCTTATATGTTAGTTGGTTTATTTCTATGTCGTATGTTCCAAAGTCAGGAGCCTGTATTTCAGTGGTTGTCGTTGGTTCCTGTCTGTCATATTTGTTTTTCGTAAATTGTTTTGTAATGAATTCAGCCGTTAGTTTTCTCAATTGAATTTTTTCATATGTTTCATGTCGGGTCTATTAAAGCCGACTGTACGGTATGGGTTTTTCTCATTGTTGAAGGTGGTACGATTGCCTATAATTCGCCGTTTCAGAATCCAAAGGATTGTGGGTAATTTCATTGTTCGTTCCTCAAAATGAAAATTACTTCACGTCATTGGTTAAATTCACATTGTTTGGGACGTTGAAAGGCAATTACAACACTTGTGAACATATTACCCAGAATTCATTTGATTCTGAAACGGCGAATTGCTTACATCAACTTCATTTGAACTATGTTGGATAGTTCTTTGATTGGCAATCATAACACATCTCCTAATTTTTTTCATTAGTGGCATCCGTTGTGTTGATCATGGCAAGTAAAAATTGAAGATATGTCGCCGAGCACGTGACTGTGGCTACGACATGTGGAACATATATTTCATTGTATATTTAAAATATATTGGCGAGGGATGAAAAATTGCGTTCAAAAGATTATCATTGGAATTTGAATGTCATATTCTTTAATTGCTGCGGACACTAATCCGATCAATTCCCAAGGTTGAATCTGATTTTACCGATTGCCGTACATGCCACTTGGTCATGACTGAGGACTGTGATAGGTATTTTAAAAAATCAATCCATTGGTGAATACAAGGAAGTACATGTAGATTAAAAGATCTGGTGAGCATTTTTCATTGTTTTACATCCTCACATTAATTAGGAAATATTGGGTAGTCTCATAGATTTCTTAACAAAAACAAGCCAACCTACCCTGCCTAACCTCCACTCTTACCACTATCAAAATGTTTAGAAATTCTGAGCAGATAAATTTTGAATCAAATTTGTAGTTCTTGTGGTTGCATTTCTCATGGTCAAATGTTTTGTTTTGTTTGGCTACAAGTAAATATCATCTTTTGTTGAACGTATGTACTTGGATTGCTTCATTCCAAACGAAAGACTCTTGATGGAATGGTGACACACTGGATTGATTGCTTTTCAAATGATGCAATCATGTTCGATCGGACTTTCATTGTTGACCTGGAATTAAACTTCGAATTACGTTTACGAATATATTTCTGCACACTACCCCTAGTAATTCCTTTTTTGGATACTTTTAAAATTGACTTGTTGTACAACAGATAAATTAATAAACAAGACAGTTGTAAGCACTATATTGTCTTTACTTGCAAATAAGAGAAGTCACAAACAAAATGAGGCATTCTTATCTATGATAAATTAAAGGCAGCAGTAGTTTGATTATGTTCAAATCACATATACGTTAAGAAGATACAAATTAAGGTTAAAAAGTAAAATCTAAGGGAATCGCAGGAACTACCAAGGGAGGGAGACGAGGTAAGCGTTTCCTACTATGCATTCATTACCTACCATGTACATCATAAAATGAGGAATTCTCACTCGATTAATCTGGTATCAAATGATATTAGATCGCATAAACATGACGCTATTTTGTTGCGTCACATTCTTTGTAGATATAAGCATATCCTCGTATTTTTTTTGCAGACACTGGTGATCATCAATATGAGTTCTATGACAGCAGACGATCGGTTTTTCTCACAACCGACCGAGTTCCTTCCAGAAAGATGGCTGCGGAATACAACTGATGAACTAGCAAGGAGCTAAGAATTTCCATTTGCACACACACCATTTGGTTTTGGTCCAAGATCGTGTATTGGTCAACGGTTTGCCGAGAATGAAATTTTTATTTGTCTAACAAAGGTACGCTTTGATCGTATTTATCTTTTCTATTTACAAGTTTGCTCTTTTACTCTATTGATGCCGCACACTATGAGGTTCTGCCATAACGTGACTTCTTATAACTGCGCTGAGCCCGTTGACAAGAGTGGTCTGTTTTGATGGTCATAGTGATACCACAAGCCTTATATTGTAAGGTTTATTATCATTTTGATATTGCGTTTTCGGTGCTTGCTAATAATCAACAAGACGCCAAAGAATTGATTAAATCTATATCATACCATTAAGTAAATAGTTAAAAATGATGATGATAGTTAATCTGCTTACACACAGTAGAATCGAACTACAGCAACACAATGTGCAGATGTACTGCTTTTGAATTAAGCATGTCATTACCAAGTACCAAGTCAGGAATATGACAGTTGTTTTCCACTCGTTTGACGTGTTTGCGCTTTTGAATTTCCCTTGGAGTTTGTATTTTACTTTTTGCATATAAATGGTTCAAAAGGGTTTGAATTGAGTCAAGATTGTCATACAACGTTTCTGGAGTTATTGACAAAAAAGTCTGTGAAGCTGAGATTTTTTCTAATTTTAAATTTTCAGCATCTGAAAAAAAAAACCCAACATATTTTTAACCAAATAGGTGTAAACTTACGTAGTGAGTATCTTTTTTTTTTTACATGAACACAACGATAATTACTGATTTTCAGTTCTAAAACGAATTCTTGTCTAATGACCACATTGAAATAGACTTTTGATTTTTTTACATCTCTATACACGCCACTATAACGATCTTTTTTCTTAAACTCTGCAGTAATTTCAAGTTTGATAGGCTTAAACTATATAAGATTTCTACAAACTTGTTACAAAACAAAAATTGTAAACCTACTATATATAGTAAAATGTCGTGCGTCTTTTTGCGTTTTTAAGTACATTTGTTTGTACTTGATATTCATAATAATAAACTCATCAAAATATCAAGCTTAACATGTTGTTCGCCAGACGCGCGTTTCGTCTACAAAAGACTTGTCACTGACGCTCGAACAGTTAAAAAGGCGAAATAAAAAAACCCGGTTGAAGAGCACATGACCCTTTAATAATTACTTTGATGATCGTAATAATGATGTGTTTAACGTCCTGTGGCAAGTATTACATTCATATCAGACAAAAACGTGTTAATTTGATATGAACATTGCTTTGTACTAGACGTACAGATTGATAGTTCGCAAGCTTTAAGTTGCATGTAGACTTGACCCCCTACCCGTACACGTTATTCTGGCTCCGAGCCGACAGTCTTTGTTTTTACTCCTAAGCTCCACATGCTTAGCGAAAAAGCAGTAAATTCCAATTTTCAGGTCTCTGGTTTGACCCGACCGAGGATTGAATCGACGATCCGCTGTACTCTAGGCGAAAACGCTACCCGAGTTCACCCAGGCGGTTGAACTACTTTGAAAAGTCATCATAAGAACCACTCAACCAGTTTGATATAATGCAAGAAAGACCTCATGCATTTATAGTTAAAGATATTTCAAAAATAGTTTCCAAAGATATTGATTTCTGTTGCATTCATTTCCGTACTAATTAGTCACTGTTAAGTCCCTTTTGGACACTTAGTAATATAGTATTATGTATTAGATACAGAACAAAGGTAACAAAAAAAAAAACAGGCTTGTAACAACCGTTGCCGTATAGTTTTTCTGCACGAGTAGTCAGACCAGTCCTTGATCCGACTACAAGTGCAGAAAAAAAAACTTTTCGACTGGTTGTTACCATCCCGTTTCTTTTTGTTACTTTTGTTTTGTATCTGACTTGTACGACGTTTTTGATTAAAAAGTAATACATTTTGCCTTTAAAAGACAATTGCATAATTAAAAAGATTGAACACAAAAAAAATGTGCATACTAAGATGTTTGCAGATATTTAGTCTTAAATGAATTAGGGATTCTGCGTTAACACTAGCGCTTTTCAATTCTATAAGCTGTGGGTGAGTAAAGTTATTTCTTATTTCTTTGATTCATTTCAGTGTAGTAGAAGTTGATTAAAACGTTGGGAGAGGGAACTTCTTAAAGTGACAAGCTTTTAATTTATAATAGTCTAAGAGTCTAGAAATAAGTTAATGCCCTCTTTCGTAGCCATTTTATATAATGATAGAAAATAAATTGCCGAAATAAGGAGGGGGGAGGGGTTGGGGGGTTGGCGGGGGGTGGGGGGGGGGGGCTAATAGTTTATAATGCGGGTATGTGTCCCCTTTACCGGCTCCTACGTCCCTTCATTTATATAAACCCCTCCACACCAAGAATAAAAGCATAATACGTACGAACAAACAATCAAAACCAAACTAAGAAATTTTTTTTTACATCTTGACTAGAATACAACGCTATCTTAAAATTATGATAATTTATCATCCATGCAATTACTTTATACACAAACTAAGTGTGTACTTTGAAAACTTGTGAAGGGAAATTAAGCCAACTTGATGATTTTTTATTTAATTTTCTAAGGAAATTGTTCTATTTTGTCATGAATTGATTGATTGTTGGTTGCTTAATGTCCAGTGGCAAATATTTTATGCATGTTCAGGACGATGTCATGAATTGAAAAGCCTTGATAATGTCTGAAGGGAATGTGCCACCTTAATATATATATATATATATTCTGATAAATCTTTTAGTTTTCACTTTGAAATAAAGAAAACGCAAAACCTATTATCTTTGATCTTTTAATGGTTGTTGCCATTTAATGCCAATCCACTAGACTATCTATGGGGCCATACTATCTATGTGTTTTAAATATATTATAGCTGTAGTTTTTTCTTGAATTAAATTTTTTTCTCAAAACTGGTAAAGCTTCCACTGCAATTTAATTATTGCCTGCTTTTAGTCGATTTATTTTGTCCTCTTACCACGTAAAGAAGTACATGTATAGTATTAACACCGCTTTATATCAATATAAATACTTACACCGGCAGCTACCATATTTTCATTCTGGAGTCAAGGGCCTCTTGAAATCACATATTTTACAATGATACTAGTGAGTAGATTTACAAAACATAAAACTTCGTTAATGAACTCCGTTTTACAAACACCTGTGATACAATAAACTATGAATAGACCAATTAAAAGATTACTTGAGTTGTAAATATGTGCTAAATTGGATAGTCTATGAAAAGGTATATACTATGAAATTAAGTGCTCGGGGCAAGCCCCTCGCTCTAAATTTAATAGTATATACCTTTTCATAGACTAACCTATATTTCTATAGCTCTGCTGGGATCAAAGTCGTACACAAATACATGTTTTGAATTTTGACAGGTTATTCAGCACTTTAAAGTATATCGATACCAACGGACACACAAGAAATGAAAACAACAGTTCAGCTATTTACAACACCTATCGACAAGGTCAAGATGACTTTTACACCAAGGGAGAAAATGTAGTTGTTCTACATATACGTACAGTTTAAATTTTGTATAGTAATGTATTTAAAGCATATCATCATATTCATTACCATTCAATGTTTCATAACTCATGATAAATTATAACAAAACAAAATATGGACTGCTCTGGAATAAATCATTTCGTCATGTTTTTTCAAAAATTCTTTTACCAGCTTTAACATAGTCAGTGACAATACATTCAGGTAACTGTTATATAAGATTCATATAGTATCAATGATATCTTCTTTACTTTACGGAAGATGATGAATGTTGCATAATTTTAATAATGTCAACTTTTATAAAAATAAGGAGATGTGGTCAATTGCCTAGTAGACAACTATCCACGAAAGTTCAAATACAGTGGATTTAGGCAATCATAGGCAACCGTACGGCCTTCAAAAATGAGAAAAAACCCATACCGCAAAGTCGGCAATGAAAGGTCCCGACATGAAACAATTCAATTGAGAAAACTAACGGCCTAATGTGTATACCTAGCTCTATATTAGTTGTCACCAACCTACGTAAGAGCGGTCTCTGAACATAAGGTTATCCTTGTGACTATTAATAAGCTTTTTAACGATCAACTTCGGAAGCTTTGCTTTGCGATGTCGATACGCCGTTACACCGAACAAATATTTTCATTTTTCATATTTTGCAGTGTATTAACTGCAGGAGAAGATAAAAGATTATAAATATATTGTTACAAAAAATCCAATTTTAATTGCGAAACACAATAATTCTACGCGCGGTATAAGGATGTTGAATTCGTTGTTTGAAAAAAAAATCAAGAGTACAACAGGAAATTAGTCTTTAGCCAGAGAAACGGGATCCAGGATATTAAAACACATTCTTATTCATTGTCTAAAGTTTTACATAGTGTAAGACTGTTTTAATCGTAAACTCCCTTTTTGTGGATACTTTTCTAAAAATCTTTTTTTATATGTTGAATGAACTTACAACTTTTCGACACACGAGTAGGGTATGCTTAGTATTAAATTTCTGCCTTCTTGCTGTTTTATATTCAAACCTTTCAAAAAGTAGGGAAAATGCCTCTTAAACACTTATACTTGCAATTATGATTGATTTGTAGACATTACTTAATATTTTTCTTAAATTTTCCTTAAACCTGAAATGTATTAAATGAGGTAAATATGCATGTTATTCCATCGTTTTTCAACCCTCTTACATACATGGGATTTTAAAATGTAGTGTATTTAAAAAGAAGACGAATTGAAGACCCTATTCAAATCCCATACTTACAATGTTCTTCTCCCATCAGGTAGTGATATGCTAGGAAATGTTGGCAATGAACCTTTTGTAATAAGAACGGCAATCGAGCTTTATAAGTTTTAACATTTCTAGTGTTCATCTTTAATTTGCTGAAAGGTTGTTGACTTTGATAAAATTGTTGTTTCTTTCTAATATATCAATGAGTCGTTAGGCCTTTTAAACATTACCGGCAAATACGACCGGGTGTTTAATTTTGCAAAGTAAATAACATAAGGCTTCTGCAATCATTCTCTCTCACAATATAGCAACAGATGTAACCATCGATGATATTAATAAATTCGGTTTAAAACTGGATACTGCGAAGTCATGAGTAAGGTGGGTGTCAAAATTGGAGCAGTAACAACATACTCTTATGAAGCACGTTGATTCTTTCTCGGATTTTCACATGCTAACCAAGACTATTTCCTAATTTTGAGCAACGAGACAGGTGTCAATAGTGGAGCAGGTACTTATGGAGCATATAATAGATATAAGAAGATGTAGTATAAGTGCCAATGAGACAACTCTCCATCCAAGTAAAAATTTATAAAAGTAAACCATTATAGGTCACAGTACGGTCTTCAACACGGAGCCTTGGCTCACACCGAACAGTAAGCTATAAAGGGCCCCAAAAAAGTACTAGTGTAAAACCATTCAAACGGGAAAACCAACGGTCTAATCTATATAAAAAACGAGAAACGAGAAACACTTATGAACCACATCAACAAACGACAACTTCTGAACATCAGATTCCTGACTTAGGACAGGTGCAAACAAATGCAGCGGGTTTAAACGTTTTAATGGTACCAAACCTTCACCCTAATTCTTTCCTGATTTTTGGATGCTTAAACCCACTTGAGATGAAGCCTATGTCAATAATCATATCTAGCATTACAGTTATAGCAGTTCACTCCTACCCTTCCGGAACACTTGGATTCTATGTGTTAATTTTGCTCAGTTTATGTTTTCTGTGGTATTTTCTGTGTAGTATCGTTTTTCATTTTGACTTGTTGTCCAATGACAATGATGTTATTTCACCTTCCTCGACCTTCTTGGTTTTTTTCTCATTATCTTCCTCGTTTTTATAAGCACGAATAAAATAGATTATAGTGGTATACGTCAATGAGTCAGTAAATCAACAGCACAAGTGAACCAAAAACATGCTAAATTCTACCTTATTGTTATGTGATATATACTAGTATTGCTATTGACTGAAAAGGCGTTCTTTAAATTTTGTAAACATTTTGTTTGTTTCTATGGGAAAAAAGGAGGTATTATTGTTTTTTTTTTCTTTTCTCTAAAATGTAGTTAGGTTTTTCATTATGTTCTAAGCTACAGGAGCCTGTCAGTAATTCAGTGGTTGTCGTTTGTTGCTGTATATCATATTTGTTTTCCGTTTATTGTTTTGTCATTTCGGGGTCTTTTATAGCTTACTATATGCGGTATGGGTTTTTTCTTCATATTGTTGAAGGCTGTACGGTTGCCTATAATTGCTTACATCCACTTCATTTGAACTTTGGTGGATAGTTGTCTCATTGGCAATCATACCACATCTGCTTATTTTTATATATATATATATATATATAGATTTTTCCATTCTCGATGATACGGGTTATGTTCTCATATATTTTATGATGGTATGATAGTAAACCCATAACGGGAGGGATTGTACTTGATTTTCATATGATGAAGACATAATCTTTTAATCAGTGTAATTGAGGTCTGGAGCTGGCATGTCAGTAACTGCTAGTAGTCATTTGTTCATTTATGTATCATTGTCATTTTGCTTAGTTTCTTTTGTTACCTATTCTGACATCGGACTCGGACTTCTTTTAAACTGAGTTTTAATGTGCGTATTGCTATGTGTTTCTTTATTCTACATTGGCTAGAGGTATAGGGGGAGGGTTGAGATCTCACAAAACATGTTTAACCCCGCCGCATTTTTGCGCCTGTCCCAAGTCAGGAGCCTCTGGCCTTTGTTAGTCTTGTATGTTTTTTAATTTTAGTTCATTTATATGTTTTGGAGTTTAGTAAGACGTCCATTTTCACTGAACTAGTACACAATCTTATTTAGGGGCCAGCTGAGGACCACCTCCGGGTGCGGGATTTTCTCGCTGCGTTGAAGACCCATTGGTGGCCTTCGGCTGTTGTCTACTCTTTGGTCGGGTTGTTATCTCTTTGACATATTCCCCATTTCCATTCTCAATTTTATCGAATATACAATTTTTCATTATATTCTAAGCAGCATGGTTTTTATTGTTTGTTAGCTTACTACTTTCGCCGCTGTCCATTATGACGTCCTGTTTAGAAAACGGTGTCGTTTCTTCGTCCTT